TCATTTCTTTATTACATTTAACCTACATATTACTACCTGTGTGCCACCAATTCCTCTACCAGTTACTTTTAGGCAAAACCTACGCTCCCTTTCACCCTTCCATCTTTCCTCTGTAGTGTTCTCCTCTCTTCCTTCACCCACCCATTTCTCATCTCTGGATGTAAATACAGCAACTGACACTTTATGATCCACTTTAACTTCTTGTCAAGACAATATCTGTCTAGACAGGCCAGTGCATACCACCCCTTCTAACCTAAAAAGTCGCCCCATGCATCATCATCTTTACTGTATTTTTGCTAAGCAGTCTTTTGGGTGACTCACCAATGTACTAGATTTCTCTAATACAAAAAATTAAGCAGGCTTGACCAAAATTTTGGTGGGGAGAAGAATTTATTGAAGATGGTAGTGTAGCAGTTTTTCAATAGCGATGTTAGCATGCCATCCTTCAAACAATCTTAACCCTTGTATGAATCCTAGCTTCTCCCAAAGTTCCGTCTGTGGGATATAATTTTATACTTATAAAGACGAAAGGGGTACAAACAACAGATACTGTTAGGACCTCCCATTGGAGATCCTGCAATCTACAAGACGTTCCTGGGGAATGCTGTTCCTTTGTTATTCTAATGGAATGGACCATTTGGTTCACACCTTTATAGACACAGTTACATTATTTCTTTCACAGAATGTCCAACTGAACGTTAACCAATCAGGTTTCAGCAGCGGCCATTCAACTGAGATTGCTTTACTGTCGGTCAGTATAACCCTGCAGATTGTGAAAGCTGATTCCAAATCATCAGTTCTTATTCTGCTGGATCTATCTGCCACGTTTGACACTGTGAATCATCAAATTCTCCTGTCTACCATCACAGGATCTGCACTCCACTGGTTTGAATATATTGTAAAGATAGCTCGATCATGCAGGTTTGCATTGCACAACATCAGGAGGATCAGGCCCTTCCAAACAGAGCATGATGCACAACTTCTTGCCCAGGCCCTTATCATTTCTTGGCTGGACTATTGCAATGCTCTTCTAGCTGGACTTCCATCATGTGCAATCAAACCTCGACAAATGATTCAGAATGCAGCGGCACGGCTGGTCTTCCATGAGCCCAAAAGGGCCCACTTCACTCCTCTCTTTATCTCCCTGCACTGGCTACCTGTTGTGGCTTGCATCAAGTTCAAGACATTGATGTTTGCGTACAGAACAGCCACAGGCTCAGCACCCTCCTACTTCCACTCACTATTACAAATCTACATCCCCTCCAGAAGCCTGAGATCTGTAAGTAAGCAATGCCTCGTGGCAGCATCACAGAGAGGCATTTTCATTCACCTTTCCTGGCTGTTGAAATGATCTTCCCACAATCGCAGTAATTAACAGAACACTCGACACGTTATCTAAATAAACGTATCACTGCATCTAAACCAACAACATGCCTGTTAGATCCTGTACCCACTAAATTACTGAAAGAGTTGTTACCTGTAGCAGAAGAACCGCTTCTCAATATTATTAACTCGTCGTTGTCTTTAGATATAAATAAAGGTGACTTGACTTGACTTGACTTATCTGACAGCAACACTAATTTAATCCCATACCCAACCAATTTGACATAAAAACTGGGAACCCTGCATTAAATCTCCTACATGAGGTTGACAAAACTCATTTATTAAAACTTTTATTCAAATTGTGAATAGATTAAATACAGAAAGCCAGCAAAGAGCGCTCTCTTTAATATAATCACTACAGCTGTCAATCAGTGGCAGCGCGATTGGCTACATTGCTCAGCGTGTACTGGACAGAGTCGAAATAGTCTTGGTTATTGGACCTGCAACCCGCCCGTACTTGTCACCGTCTGGCCCGCACCCTCATCACACCCTACACATAAATATTATTCCACCCATTACATCAAATATTAGCGATTCACCAGCGTGTACCCGCCCGCATGCAGGACTCTGGCTTCCCCCCTGTGGACATTATAGACAACTCTGGCCCTAGAGAGTGATTGTAAATTAAGTTTACATGAAATATGTTTGAAATTTTATTCTGCATCTTCTGAGATTTAATTGCAATCATTCTCATAAAGCCACTGAATTAACCATTAACTGTTCACCTGATTGCGTTTCCATCTGTGTGTGATGTTAGAGCGTTGTTGAGAGAGAACAAGAATGTATTGGAAACACACTCTGCCTGAGAGGTAAGGAAAAATACACTTACCTGAGATGATTTTTTTTTAAATATCTCTGAAATATATGATAGTATTCTTTAAAACATTCTTTTAATGTATTATTAAATAAAATATTAGTTAATTATCAAAGAAAGAAAAATGAATAGCCATAATATGTACTAGTAATGCTGTGATACTGATATACTCAGATACTGTGATTTCCTTCTCACATTGCTGATTTCACCATTAACTCTTCACCTGGACAGTTTATGTTGCTGTATATGGTATCATTGTAATCCTTGACCATCAAAACATAGGGGTAGACATCACCCTTTCTGTGTTACCACGTTTGGTTCAGGAGCTATGACACACAATACATCATTTGGTTATGGCAGAAAGTAAAATGGTCGCCATGGTAACCACGAGGTGTTTTTGCGATGGCTCCATTTCTGAAAATGTTTAGGGCCGCAAACTATACAAGTGTACCAAGTTTCATGCTTTTATGAAAAAGTGAACATTATTTTCACATATCACCTGGACTAGAACGGAACCTGTACAGTAAATATATATTAAAAACTTATGAAAAGTCATGAACTTTTTTCAGGGGGCCCATTTTTAGCAAGTCATATTCTGGTAGGTTCTGTAACTACACCATCTGGGCCTAAAAAGCGTCTTTCTCCATTGACAGCCATTCAATAGCTGTATATTAAAACCAGATGTGACTAAATTTATTTATTTATTTATTTTTTTTGCAAGGAAAATATCAATTGAAAATATTTTATTATATATTATAGTACATCTTTTACAGGTACTCAGTGTTATTTTTGTTTCAGTGCTCAATCAAATGCAGACACTGGTTTGGAAATCTGCCATCTTTCCTTATGTTGTATCAACCATTTTGTAATGAAGTCATATGAAAACAATGCAGCACACTACTGTTTTTAAGCGTTTATTGTTGCATTCTCGTACTGTGTACTGTTTCACATTCTATTTTAAAAAGAGTAGGCGGCATATACTGCACAGTAAGCAGTACATTATTCTTCTATTCTGAATATAGCCAGTTTCGGTGAACGTATGATAGCTGCAGTATGCTGGAACGTATACATTTCAGCCCATTAGTATAAACGCATCCAAAGCAAGCACATGCAGTCTCACTCTAGGCATGTAGTTACATTCATAATGGCAATGCAGAATCTTTTCATTCAAAAGATTTCATTTCAAATCCGCCTTTGCATATATCCTCCAGTAGGTGTCAGACCTGTTTTGGAAATCCTTAAAACCATTTCAGAAGAGCTTGACCTTTGGATCTTTGGCTTTTAAGCAGCTTTTATTTTTATTTTTTTTTTAACTAATCCTGAACCAGTTCTATATGCTTATTTCTCACTTTCATCACGGTCTTGTGTTTCTGTTAAAACAGAGCATAGCACAGATTTTACAGATGTTGGACATTATATATCATTCAAAAGTTTGGGGTCAGTAAGATTTTTATTTATATATATATATATATATATATATATATATATGTATATATATATATG